CTGCCAAAGGTCTTAATCATACTGTTAATACTGTTAATACTATCTATCATTAACATGACCACTGGCTTCAACAATGAACTTTGAACATCCTGTATGAAATTAAAATTTTCCCCCTTCTCTATTGGGACATGGCAACTTCAACACCTTAAATTCAGTGAGGGTATAATCCCTGACATTTAAAAAGTCAAAGTGATGAAAATTATTTAACTTAACACTAACAACAGAAGAACAGTTCAGCCTTTATATATATATTTTATTTTTCTATTTTAAATTTGTACTGCCACCTCAAGATTTAACTTAATACAGACCTATTTTATTTACTTTCTGATCGAACTTAATTATTTGAATTCAAAAACTACTTTATTTTCATCAATAATAATTCCAGAAAAACAATTTGAACAAGAGAACTAAATTCAACCTTGATTAATTTTTCACCTCTATTCATTGTTGGACTATTTACCTACCTACCCAAGCCTCCCAAATTTTCATAATTGACATATTTTATTTTATAAATTAGGCCTAAAATATTTTAAGATCTTTTTAGCCAGCCGAGTTCCCCTCCCTGAGAAGATTTATGTAATTAAACTTATATCTTATTGTAAACTCATTGTTCTGTTTTACTGAGCTAGGCTAAACCAAAGATGGCGACCCTGTATCTGTTCATTTAAATATCAAACCCCATTCATCATTGTAATATCCTAACTTATTCTTAGTTCATTAAATTTGTATTGTAAAGAAATCCTTCAGCTTAATCATTTGTCTTTCTATAAGTATATTTAATCTAGGCTTAACTTAGCCCTTAATAAATAGTAAGTAAAGGTACAAACCTGAACCAAAATTTATTAGTCTAAATTACAAGCACTACCAATAACAAATTTTTTAAAACATATTCAACCAATTGGGTAGTGATAAATCATTATAAACACACAGAGTGTTTTCTTTTAGTTTTGATGTTTATTTAGTTAAATATTTTATTGTTTTGAATTTCTTAATTTTTTAGTGATGTGTTTATTCTGGTTTTAATCTTTTTTGGTGACATTGAAAATGATGAAGAGAAAGTATATTGTGTTGATTTAGCCTATTCCTGTTACTGTCTGGAAAATCCAAGATTGCTGTTAATATTGAAAATAGAAGGAGAAGGGGTTTAGTAAGGGATTTGATGAGATTAAGACGAACTAATAATAATTACTAGAGGTCATCCAGTGGTCGAAAACTCGACCAAAAATATGTAATGGGGCGATAATTTGCCGATTCCGCTATATCACTTAATATTCTTGTGATTTCCAACCATTTCGGATTGCAAGTCATTGTGATAAATGAAGTAGGTTTGCCGTGAACTTGAACTATAGCCATTGCATCTAAATTGTTCTTGAACATATTTCTTGGGGACCCAATGATGGCAAAATTACTCTCCGTCCTATATTCTGTGTATCATCACCGCCGATATTAGTTTCCAAAAAACAGTCACATTGTTTTACATGTCTGCTCTTAGTGTTCTGATTCTGCCTAATAAAATGTAATCTGGTTCCTTCTACACGTACATACATAAACAACAACCCATTGCAAAAAAATCATTCCTGCAATAGATGTATTGCTCTAGTCTATAGCATGCATATTGCAGCATTGTGGCCTTATTCCTGGGGGCTCTTTAAGTGGAGCCACTTGGTTGTTGTGCGTCATATTGACGTGCCACCCAGAGTCTCCGTTTGGAAATAACATAGGCTATGCTAACGGAACTAATGATGCGTCTAAAACTGATACGATGCATATGTTGCCATGAGTTTAAAAAAATGTAATAATGTTGCGATCAAAGGGTGGCTCACTGTTGAGTGTGCTGAAAATTACAGCTACGTCTGTTTGGACTGCATCATTGTATCGTTGAATATCTAGTTCACGATTTACTTTGATCTGTAAACTAATTTCTTTAATTTCATTTCCAGGAAGGCTACATTAGTTTTTCATTGTTTTAAATGAACCAACATAAGGGTTGACACGTTCCAATTCAAATTCAATTTCATGAATTAAGTTTGTCTATCGCAAAAATTGTTTGACTGGTGACCAGTTCTATAATTGGCCGCAGTGTCAACGTCATAAAAGTGCAATTGAGCATACATAGGATGAGTACGGTAATTTGAAGACGTCATAGGTCCCGCCCTGTGGTACAAAGTATCATGGATTTTAAAATTATATGGTCCATTCTGTGCAGTATTAACAGTATTTTAGCCTCAGAGCTTATCATTGCAAAAGATGAATTAAAACTTTGTATATTAAAAAACTACTTTCGGATCGTCCTTTTGAAACTATGTTGGCAGAAAAAATGCTGTGACAAAAGTGTCTTGATAAAAGCATTTTGTGTCAAGGGCTGTAAAACAATTTTGCTTATGTGGCAACAAGATGTGAATGCCGTCGTATCACGTTGTGTGGCTTCAGACCGGAAGTGTTTCCCATAACAAAATCTGCATTCTAAGTTCATAAGTCTGAGCCACAAAGCTCCCGAGGCACTTATCTTAACACACATTTAAAACTATCTATCAAATTTGGTATAATAACTACATATTGTTAATGTAGAAGGACATCTCAGGATTGATGACAATTGAAAGTATAAAATAAAATGTGTTTAACAATTTATTATAAAAATAAATAACAAAATGGTTGTTATAAATCACTAAATGATAATTATATTGAACAAATTACCGTCTTTTAATTACAAGTGGGGATAAAACACAACATAGACATAATTAATTATCACAAAATATTTTTGAAATACCTATTAAAAATGTTATTATTTAGCCTATAAATTGTGTGCACATAAAATAATAGTATATTTCATCACTAGGGCCTAAAGTGACTCTTTTTGACCCGAGGTCGGAAAATGAGCGAGGGATAAAAAGTCACTTTTTGCCATATTTGTCATATTTTTTGTCATATTGCATAATTAATTAACAAACAAAGCTAGAAAACAAAATAATTGTTATGTAAAGATAACCTCTCAAAAAGACTTCCAGCTTGTTTTCAATTCTGCTAATGCAAATAAGCAGCTGTTTAGTAAGTGATTCCATCATTTTGACTATTACCATTGTGTTACAGTACATTATACCATCGATATGTCGATCAATCGACAACAATAGTCTAAAACCTTACCTAATAAATAAATCGATAAATAATGTCGATTGATACGATTGCCACATTCAAAATTTACAACTGTTTACTTCCTAACGACTAAAAATTATTTTTACTCTCTAGAGAGTAAACAATACCCCCGTCGCAGCAAACCTGCATACTAAGCGAATTTCCATTTACCCGGCTCGATTTCTACTAAATAAATTTTCTGATTTATTTTTTATTTAAATAACATTAATTTTAGTGAGTAGTTACGTTTGCTGCTACGGGGAAGATGTTGAGGTGTGTTTTTTCAATTAAAATATTGATAGCTTAGTATGAAATAAACCAAATTGCCAAATTTGATTAAAATATATCCATAAACAAGCAAACTAGAACAGTTTATCTGTTCTCCATAAGAATAACATGGGAATTATAAATTTAAAATTTTTTAAATTTTCTCCGTAGTCAATGAACATTCAAAAACACTTCAATATACTAAATTATTTGTTTTTTTTAGGCTCTTCAAAATGGTCTAGAGAGAAATTTAGAAATTTAAAGTTTTTAGGGTCAAAAATTAGAAAAACTAATTTTTACCCCATAAAACCCCCATAAACCCCTGATCCCATGGTCCGATTATGCTGGTTCGCGAACTCGTTCGAATAAATGTAGGTTTACACGTTTGTACCAAATTTCATAAAAATCGGATCAATTTTGCTTGAGTTATCGCGCTAACGGACACGTATATAAATATATACATATGAATTTGAACGTATGGTGTTTTTGGCCTCAGGGGACCTCAAAACGAAAAAGTAAATCGGTCCCGGGTCTAGGTCTTACCATGAGACCTACGGTAATAGCTTATTCCCTATATGGGAAATTCGCTAAAATGCTACTTTAGACCCGCAACGCATTCATTAAAAACGGCTGGGTTTGCTGCAGTATGAGAAAAAATATTTTTATGGTATTTATACTGCAGTAAATTTGGCACCTCATATAACATCTACAATATATAACTTAAAACTATTAAGTTAAATAAACACAGTAATGTTACAACTAAAAAAAAAGAAGAAAAAACTATTCTTTTCCACAAAACAAATTTATAAATCTGCAAGAAAGCCCTGGCTCTTGATCTCTCCTGAGAGAGACTGTTTCATTTAATTTTTGTTAATTGCAAGCTCTACTCCAAAAAATACTCCTGCAAGCTGAGAAATATTCTTGGAGGTCTTGAACACATTTGTACCACAATAATACAGCATTATCCATGAACCCGTGACCAATATATGCGATGGCCATTTTCTAACTATAAACTGCTGTCACAAATATGCGTTGCATGGTTACGTTAGCACAGAGATTCTCACTAGGACTTATCAGAGAGCCAATTAGTTTTCCTCAAAAAATTTTCCTCAGGGTCACAAGCAGTGACCACTTGTGATCACTTTTGTGGGGGAGGGGTCTGGAGGGAATGGAATACCAGTGAAAAGGGGAGTCTGAAGGCCCTCCCCCAGAAAAATTGTTGAAAATAAAAAGAAACATATTTTGAAGCACAGTTTTCTTAAAATGTATAAAATATTTTTCATAAATCTAAAATTTAGTTTTAATTCCTAATAGTCCGAGAGCCGCATAGTGAGGATGCCTAAATTAGCATATACTGATGGCACATATTGTCATACGAATAGTGTGTTGACTGTGGCAACATTCCCTCTTTTAAATATGTCTTTACTCTGGTCTTTTATTGAGAGTTTCTTATAATCTGAAGGACACTCTGCCTCTCTATAATCTTCACAAATAAAGAAATAAAACAATGTGGTACAATAATATCACTTTTGATTGAATGGTTTGATTTTGACGTCTGTCAAAAGGACAGTTTCAATGTAATGACCGATGTTAAACACTTTTAGTGTGTTTTTTTTTGTTTTTTTTTTTGTCTCATTCACTTAATAAGTATCCACTACTCTACCAACAAATAACCTAATACAAATTAAAACTTTAGATTTTAGTCACAGTATGACATCACCCACCACCCATTTTATTATATCTTACAACGCTAAACAAATATTAAAGCATTTCAAATATACATTGTATAAAGTCTTATATAAAATAAAAAACATGAAATCAAACTGAGCAGTATATAAAGCATAACCATAAAACATTGTCACTTAAATTATAGTATTGACTACCGTACCTATTAAGTATTAAAAATCCCATATAAAGGCTGATCAGACAGTGCTATTTAGGCACAGAAATGCTTAAAGAATAAATGGTACCTCAATTCAATATAATCTAAATCCTTATTTGTTTCCACACAATCTGTGTCGTACATTTAATTTAGTTACTTACTCAATTATGACAATTTATTGGAAAGCCTGCATGTTAAACCAAGTTGATGACTCTGACAAGCTATTATAGTGAGTTTGTTGTAAAAGCAAGACGATCAGCTACCTTGGTGTTTCTTTACCAACACAGTCAAAGATTTGACAACTACATACATTTTCGCTGCCCTCCTGTGAAATCACCTGTTTTCAATATATGTTTATCACCTGCAAAAATTCATCATTACATCGTTTACCACACAAAAAGAATGTTTACCCAACCCGCCATGTTAAACTTCCCTATCCCAAGAGTGATGTAAACAACTTCTTTACTTCACCCATTGAAGTAAAGTTTCAAAAAATCACTCGGTGAAGTAATGAAACCCATTCAAATAACATTGAGCTCTATGGAGCCAACGACGTTCAACACTAGAAATCAGCTGTGCGCTTTAGTGTTATTGTTATGCTCTAAAGTATTTTCCTAACCTAGCTTTTGTTTGTAAAAGAACGTTACTGTTAGAAGATGAGTGAAATGGATAGTTTGCCCTCAGATATAGAAAATGATGCAACTACAGTTATTAATGGATTATTACCAACAAAATCAAAAGAAAGATACGAAGAAGAGTTATATAAATATGAAGTATATTGTATATTGTCCTGTATATTGTGGGAACATGAAAAATATTGTACGTAACCTCCTGTATATTGTCGGGTGAGGTAAAATCTTGTCCGTTACACGTTACACAAGAGCGTGTTTACATCACTTAGGTAAATTGTGTGGATCTTACTACACTTGTAACGTAAATAGCTATTACCATTGACTATTGGATACAGAAGGAGACACCCCATCTATATCAAATTTTTACTAAAAACTAATGTAGTTGTGTGAGCCACTCACAGATTGCTCTAGTGTCTAAAACTCTATTTTTTACCTATTTTTTCTATTTATATTTTTTGTTACTGACATAGTTACTGGGTCATAACAGTTGCTATAGCTCATAATAAATAATTCTATCAGTATGATTTGGTAAGAACCATCGTGTAATCGGCATAAATCAGATATTTATATCAGTGCAATCTGTAGGGGGCTCACATCAACTAAGACAAACTTGATTAAAAACCTGGCGACAGCTTTAACATGGGGATGGAATGTCTAGTTGTATTAATAGTCAAAGCTATTACTATGCAAAAGTAATGTTTACTATCTTTAGTATATTTTATGGATTTTGCCGACATAAACAAACAAACATATTATTTATTGTTTCAATTTGCATCAACCACAACTTTTTTACTGTACAATCAATGTAAATTTGAACATTAAATAGAAGACCTATCCTAAAAAAATGCTTTTAGTTTTGAAATTTGAAACTTTTCATTTTGAAACTGTTCAGAAGAAATATCCCAATGTCTATTTTAAATTTTAAAATAACTAGTCTTTGTAGTGTATCAAAAAAAGAAAGTGGGTTATCAACCCTTCGCGGACGGGTGATGGATATATCCGCATAAGTCTTTGGTGACAAAGGACGGGTGAGGGATATATCCGCATATGGGTTTTGATGCTCCGGACTGGAAGCGGTTATATCCGCCTTCTCTTCAGACAGACTGGCAGGTGCTTGAGCAGTAACCAGATGTTTCGCTGTACCAAGGCGCCACTTTCCTGCTCATTCCATGACTGCGCTCTCCCCCGCACTCCCCCCTCTCTACCGCGCTAACCCCTCTCCTGCGCCTCACCCCCTCCCGCGCACCTACCACCACTCCTACGCTCCCCCCCTCGACACTTTGCACTCAACATTACGTTGTCTCTATTTATTGTTTACATATTGTTCTTTATTTATTGCTTAACGTTGTCATGGTCATATCTTCAAAGACGGGTGGCGGATATATCCGCTGCATTTCTACTCATCCGCAACCCGGATATATCCGCATTGTTAAAAACGATTAAAAAATTATTTTGACAGTAAGATGTGTTCCACTGTGTTTCTTTTATGTATACTTGTATAACAAAACACAAATATGAAAAATTAATTGTTATTTTTTCCTCTAATTTTTATTGTCCTATGTAATGATTTCGCCCGTCCGGGAAGGGTTCAATTCAATTCCAACTTTCTAGTCTTCTTATGAAATATACTATTTCCATCCTTTCATAATTCACTTAATTAAGTTGAAGTAGATATCTTTGCAAAAATACACACACCAATCAGCATGTCCAGAGATGTAACTGAATTTAGAATACATTGTGCATGGAATCTGCACACTCCAACTATTGGACTGAGTATTTAAAGTGTAAAGTGCCTCACTTAATTTTAAATATAAAAAAAGTTAATTTATTTTAGTAATTATTTTTCAAAGAAATACTTAAACAAGAGCAAATAAAAGAAGTAGCTCATCAGTAATCATCTGGTTAGAAGATTAACCTTACATGCTTCTGGCTGTTACCTCTTTAAAAAAGCATAATGTAATAAGCCAAATGCCTCAAACAAACCTTTCAAAGGCTTTCATAGAAGTTGTTACTGACTGAGCTCTCTAAAAAAGGTCAAGATTTACAAAGAACTCAGTCATTCAATTTAATGTACCTACCCAAACAGTTGGACCGATTTCTAAGACTTAAATCTAATCTGCATGTAGTTGGAGTTTCCTGGTTCCTTGTCGTAGCCGAAGGTTTGATAGAACGGGACCATGTGGTCGCGACAGTCCAGAGTCAGCTTGTAAACTCCGAGGTGTTCAGCAAGCAGAACCATTGTTGCCATCAACCTGTAATGATATGTGATCAATAGTGAAATGAACGGTATCAGCAGTCTGACGTATCCTTTCTCCCATTAGCTTGTCAACAATCTTATTCATGGGTAAGCAATGAAAGTAACTACGATATTTTATGGGAAAATCACCATTAAAAATCAAAATAAAATAAATAAATAAATAAATAAAACACCAGTATATATCATAGCTTACTACCAACATAAAAAATTAATTAAAATCGGACCACAGGCATGGTCTGTAGCCCTGTACACATCCACACATACACACACCCACACAGACATAACTTTGAAAACCATGTTTTTTTTTGGTACAGCGTGTTCTTTCCTTTATTAATCTTCGAAGATTAACAATCTGGGTAGTATTTTATTTTTTTAGACATAATTAGTTTTAATCGAGACCTAGACGTTTACATTTACAACAACAAACACTTTGAATACCATTTAATAAAACATTAAAATACACTAATTTCGCTACAGCTCTTTAACCAATAAAGATACCAAAAAACATTAACCATAAAAATTGTAGCTTGAGTAAGTGTGAAATGTGTCAGGGTTATTTCTAAGGTCTTGGTAGTGAATGAAAAAAGTCCCTCTGGTACTTATATCTCATAAAAACGGATGAACCAAAAAACTATGTTTTTTTCTTATGATTTCGCAATTTCAAAAATATATATATGCTAAGCACCTGCCTCTTCGACGTCCAACTGTGAGCTTTGTGGCTGCAGCTGCACTGGTGGCTGAGCTGGTGGTCCATGCGCATTTTGACTGGCCACCAGTGTCACCAGTCACCACCAATGTCGCCACCATGGTGGCCCAGTGTGAATAGGCCCTTAAAGATAGCCTATTAGATGTAATTTAAGAAAATATACATATTTATATGTGTATGTCTTCATTGAAAGTTTTTATGGAGGTTTACATAAAACTCAGTAAAAGTGCCTAAATAATCGTGACATTTGGAGGTTGTCAATGCGACACCTAGGGGGTTAATAGGAATAATGAAGTAATTGCCACAGCTTCTAAAGCACGGGTCACATTAAGCTGGCATCAGCGGCGAATTGAAAGAAGCCGCTACTTTCAGCGTAATGTGACCACAAAATTCCCAGCTGACACCGAGCTGACCTAGCCTTTTTACTGATGCTGGTGGCGAGCAGCCTAGTGTGACCCGTGCTTTATGTCAACAACTTGTTTAAGTTAGATGTCCATTCCTCTTCAGGCATAGCCATGACTGCAAAATGTAATGATCACACTCTCTGGCATAAGCGTATGGCCCATCTCAACTTTATTGATGTAAAAGAATTGTCAAATGGCTTGGTGCATGGAATCAATCTTTCTGATAAAATGCTTCATATTCCTTGTGAATTATGTGTACTTGGAAAAAGCCGCTGATTACTTTTCCAACCAAGTAACAGCGAAAGTACCTAGTGAACTGCTTAAATTGGTATGGTTTGACTTGGTTGGACCGATGGAAGTACTTTCTCTTACTGTTTCGATGTATATTCTTACTTTCCTTACTTATTCTTACTCTAAATGCAGCGAGTAAACAAAGACAAGCTCATGATCATCAGCTTATCAGCATTTTAGGGATCAGCGTATCAGGAAGCAAGGCATTGCATTAGAAGCTGTGTGACTGGTTACTTCGTCACCCTCCATTCCCTAATACTGATGTTATAGGGGCGGTTTGGGAGCTCGGTATTAGCGCTAGTCCGCGACTAAATCCGGATATTTCCGGTATTTTAAGCTGCCGCTTCGAAAACGGGTTTGTGAGCTCGGCATCAGTAAGGCGCGCGCCTAACTTGTGCAGGGATAATCTCGCGCCTAAATATTGTTGGTTTGGGAGTCAAGTAGACTTAGGCGCCAGCCTAAGAGATAGTCTCAGTGGGTTTGGGAGACCAATTTCGGGAATAAGAAGATTAATCGGGATTAAGAGATATGTTTTCGCCATAAAAATCAGTGAGTTTAGTCCCCAACTTTAGTCCTGCCAGGGGGCAGGTGTGCCAAAGGCATGGATTGCATTAATATATTAAATGCCAGCTGGTTATAATTCATTTGTTATTGTTTTGAACTTATAATTGTAACTATGGAAATATAAAAACTGTAGATAAAACTCTCTCGACTTATTTCAGTTTTATCAAACTTTTAAACTTATAAAACTAACAACATTAAACTTGAACAACTAACTATTTGACATGGTAGCAGAGCTGCAACGATCCACCCGTAACTGATCTTTATTTCACTTATTTGTACTGTCTAACTTCAACTGAACTTTGAACATGACGACTCGACTGGGGAAGAAGGCTGCCACTCTCACGGCACGTGTGAAGTCTACCCTTGCAGAGGCGACTACACTGCTTAACGCCGAGGACCCTTCGAGGAACGCGCTACTAGCGACGCTGGCAACTCTGCAAGGCTATTCAGCTCGCCTAGAAGCCTTGATGGAACAGATCGACCTAGACACAGCCAACGGGTCGGCAACTGTGGAGGGTACCGACGACGCCGAGGACCTTTTTGGTATCGTACTTGACAGTGAGCAAGTAATAGCAACCTTGAAGGTAAGACTAGAAGCCTTCAACACGAAAGCTATCAATGATCATGCCAATAATTCAAATGGTCTTTCGTCCGAGCGAGTGTTGGAAAATCCACGCAGTTTAGTACAACTACCTAAACTAATCCTTCCCATGTTTGAAGGTAGCATTCTTAAATGGCAAGAGTTCTGGGACTCGTACAACTCTGCCATTCACAGTCAGCTATATTTAAATAAAGTAGATAAGTTCAATTATCTTAACTCTCTTTTGCATGGAGAGGCCAAACTATGCATTGCTGGTCTACAGTTAACTGCTGACAATTATGACGTTGCCATATCTTTACTTCAAGATATATTTGCTAACAGCCAACTCATTATCAATTCGCATTACAAAGCCTTGATGGATTTAAGTCCCTTAGAATCCTACGACACTGGAAAACTTAGGAACTTATTTGATATTATTGACAAACACATCAGGTGTCTACAAAACTTAGGTGAAGATACCAACTCAAATTTCTTTTTTTCTCTGATTATGAGGAAACTTCCTCTGGATATAGTCATAAAAGTAGAGGAAAACAACGTAGATAATACTCTTGATGCCACTAAATTATGTAGTATAGTAAGAAATATAATCGTAGATAGAGAAAAATCACAACTTTTATTAGGTTTTGGATCAACAAAAACTTCCATCCCACCATCAGAAAACGGAAACTACTTTCGTAGCTCAGAAAAAGGTAGTTTTTCAACTACACAGGCCCTTCCTTCGACCGAAAACAGAACTGCAACCTGTATTTTCTGCAAAGACGCCCACTGGAACGACCAATGCCAGAAGTTCAAAACTTTAGAAGAAAGAAAAAGTAAGGTTAAAGGTCTCTGTTTTATTTGCCTGAAGAGTGGCCACAACTTAAAAGATTGTAAGGTAAGCAAACCTTGTACAGTATATATTGCAAACAAAGGAAGAACCATCATAGAAGTCTTTGCCCCAAAAGATTTTCACAGTCTCTTAAGCCTCCCGAAAATTGTGCTGTCAATCCCGAAGTCTGTAGCGAACCTTCTCTTGTTACGGTTAATGAAAATGTGATTTTGCAAACGGCTAAGGTTTATTTGACGAGTAATGGTTTGACAGAGCTTGCTTAAGTTTTGTTTGATACCGGGAGTCAAAGATCTTATATCTGTACTAATATTGCATCAAAACTTAAACTAAAGAGTGATAACACTCAAGTTTTATCTGTATTTACCTTTGGTAATAAAGATGCAAAAACCTTTGAAACACAAAATGTAACTACCGGACTCATACTAAGTGATGGTAAGGTTTTCAATCTCAGTTGTAATGTAGTGCCCCAAATCACGGGAAAGTTAAGCAGTACCTCTAGTATTGATGTTTCCCAGATACAATCACGGTTTCCATCCCTTACTTTTGCCGAGGGTCAAAATGAGGATTCAGTCATTGACTTGTTAATAGGAAATGATTTCTACTTTAACCTTATAACGAATGAAAAGATCGAAGTACACTCTGGTTTGTATCTAATAAGATCTAAGGTTGGCTGGATTTTAAGTGGGAGGGAAAAGTCACCAAATGATGCAAAATCAAACACTTACTCTACGTCCTTTCTAACTATGTCACAACCTACAAATGTTTTTAATTTAAGGAATCATTTTGTGGAACCAGACTCACAGTTTGTACAAGATTTGCATATTAAGGACCTATGGAGTTTGGATAGTATAGGGATTCGTGATTTCCCTCATCAAAATGATGATGATATAGCTTTGGGTCAGTTCAATGAAACTATTAAGCTTGAAAATAGTAGGTATTCGGTTGGTTGGCCTTGGAAGGAGTATCCCCCTGACTTACCAAAAAACTACAATTTGTCACTTTCATGACTTAACTCAATTTTGTACTGTTTTAAAGACAATTCTAGTGTGCTTGAAGAGTACAATAAAACAATTAAGGATCAACTCTGTAACGGAATTATTGAAAAGGCTCCGCCTAACGATGACTTAACAGTTTGACACTATATCCCACACCACCCAATCAATGAGTTATCAATGAGTGTAAAATCACAACGAAACTAAGAATTGTGTATGATGCATCATCAAAGAGTAAAAAGACAAATAACAGTTTAAACGATTGCTTGTACCGTGGACCGGTAATTTTAGAAGATTTGTGTAGTCTACCTCTCAGATTTCGTATGAATCCTGTTGGTATTGTTGCGGACATCAAAAAAGCATTTCTACAATTAAATTTACAGGAATCTGACAGGGATGTCACTCGTTTTTTGTGGCTTAAGGATACATCCTCTCTTTCACTAGACAACAATGTTGAAGAGTATAGATTTTGCAGAGTACCATTTGGAGTAATTTCTAGTCCTTTTCTATTGAATGCAACTATACAACATCACTTACTCCACTCTCAACTTTCTGGGGTTTCTGAACGTTTGAAACATTCATTTTATGTCGACAACATGATTACTGGA